CTTCCCCAAAGCTATCTGAATCCCACCAATACCAATACAAATGTCCATGGCAGCCTGTGTGTGTGTGTGTGTGTGTCCTACTGTGTGTAGGACATGCTGGCAGTGTACAAGGTGTCCCTAGGCCACCATCTTTCCCCCAATCACCTTCTCACCATCTTCCTGTTTCCCTCCACTACGCAGCACCTCTCCTCATGGTTTCTGGAACAGTCTCAAAATTCCCTCTGGAAGGCCCTCTGGAATGTTGCCTAGGATGCATGGCTGTGTGGTGTGTGTTGTATGAACGTGATGGGAAAATGTGTGCAAGATACACTTCTGTGTCTGGTGTGTGTGTGTGTGTGTGTGTGTGTGTGTGTGTGTGTGTGTAGGAGTTATTTGTGGGTGGTATGTTTATGTAGTATATGTATATATACTGTGTATGTACACATGTTTAAGAGTGTTTATTTCCACATGGTGTCTGTGCATGTGGAAAATATGTATGTGTGCTATGTGTGCATTTGGTATGTGTTATACACTCATGAACTCTGTGTAGTGTGTCTGATACATCCATGTGTGGGTTTGGTATGCATGTGGGCATATGTACTTTTGTAGTATTTGAGTGCTGTGCATGTTATCACACATGAACACCAGCCATACATATGTATTATTATGAATACTATATACACATGTGTCCTGCACTCACCACATTGTTGGGGGATATTTGTACACTGTGTGACAATGTATTGCTATAATTGCTGTAATAAAAAGCTGAATGGTCAATAGCTAGGTAGGAAGTATAGGCAGGACTTCCGGGCAGAGAACTCTGGGGGAAAAAAGGCAGAGTCACCAGCTAGATGAGGAGGAAGCAGGATGGGCAGTGTGGAGAAAGGTAACACTACGTGGCAGAACATAGATGAATATAAATGGGTTAATTTAAGTTATAAGAGCTAGTTGAGAACAAGTCTATGCTAAGGCCGAGCTTTCATAATTAGTAAGAAGTCTCTATGTTATTTGTAAGCTGGTGGCCCAAAGGTAACTCTGACTACACCACATACAACCGTGCATAGCATGCATATACTAATGTGTACCCCCAATGCATGTGGACATCCCAAATACAGCGCTACATACAAATGCACCCATGCCGCTGCGTGCATCTTACCTCACATGGGAAATCCATAGGGACTTTACTCACCTTCTGCCACCTCTGTTCTCACACCACACACAGATGCCACAGTCCACCATCATCACTGTGAAGTTAGTGAAGGCTTAGAGGTGCAGGACGGAGTGTAAGCACATATCTCAACAGAGGGTTACTGACCTGCTCCAGAGGAAAGAGCCTCTCACAACAAATGGGCTCCACAATCCTCAATGAGACCCTTTGTCGTGGAGCCAGGCAGGCTGGGGGTTCTGAGAGTGGGAAGTTCAACATACTGGAGCCAAGTGTCGATCTTAATGGTACCTTAGATGGAACCTTAACCTTGGCACCAAGGACAGTCCTAAGCTAATTAAGCCCAAGCACTAATTCTGATACCAACCCCACAACCACGCTTCTAGCCCAATACCAACCCCAATGCATCTCGCCCCCAACCCTAATCCAATCAAAATCCCAGCTATAACTCCAATCAAACCTCAACTTCAACTTTTAACCCTAGCCCCACTCCGAATCCTACCCCAACTCCAACTCTAATCGCAGTCCAAACCCAACCCTAAGCAAATCCCATTGCCACCTACACCCTAATCTGTGGTTCAGGCACACCTCCGCTGCCACCTCCCCAAGGAAATCATCAAGATCTGAGATGGACTGAATGTCTGGCCCTCTCCTGGCTTCCCTGTTGGCACCAGGTGCATGGTTGGTATTTTTAATTTTCTGTATATGTGACTTAGTATGTAAGGTTACAACTTTATTATTAGCTGACATCAGTGTTCCTGAAGCCACTCGAGGCAAAATCTGTGCCCCTTTCTGACTGGTGTCCCTGGGGCCCAGTGGGGACAGGCAGGGTAGCTCTCAGTTTCATTCTTGATGAACGAGCAGATTGCGTTTGAGTGTTGAGAACACTGAAAATTCTCACGCGTGTTGCCCACACTCTAATACAGATAATCTTCTGGGTCCCTTCTGAAGGAAGAGGTCACTGGACCATCACAGGGCGAGCCATGCCTTCCTGTGGGGAAGGAAGACAGTAGGAATAATTGTCTCCTGCTGGGGTCTCCTCCTGGCTGTGGGGAAGGATGGACAGATGGGCTCAAGCAGGAGCCCAGCGTTAGGAAAGGAGGGGAGGCCCCTGGGACAGTGGAGACAGGCTGCTGCAGCGGTTCAAGGTTTTCTCAGTGACAGGCTGTGGCTCTTAGGTCCAGACCACAGACTGGCCCTGGCAGGGGAGGGTGCTACCACCGTGGGAGTCCCTGGCCCATGCCACAGCTGTGGGATGCAGAACGCAGGAACAACCCACAGTGCTGGACTGGGTGCCCCACGGGCGGGGTGTGGCTGTGATGACTGTGGAATGGAGTGGACCGGAGTGGACTCCACCTCCCAGGGGTTAGGTTTGGGCCGGTGTTCACAGGCTGAAATTTGTATGTGCAGAAACAACAGTTGTGGGCATCATGGATGCGGCCCTACTGTGGCCGTGAACTCAGCTGGCATCTGGAGTCTTCCTCTGTAGAAACACACAGGACCTTAGATGCAGGGTCTGGTTGAGCGGGGCTCTCAGAGCGGAGGGAGGCATTGGGGCAGCAGGCTGGCAGCTAAGAGAGGACCAGGCTCCTGGACCCCGCTCAAGCTGCCCACAGTGGGGCTTCTCCATTGCTGAGGCACTGGCTGAGGGCAGCTCTGGAGGTTCTGTGTTCCCTCCCCTCCCTTCTGGGACAAGGGTGTCACTATGAGTGGGAACAGCTGCCAGTAAAAGGGACCTGGGGACATCAAACACCCACTACATTTGGTGCTGCATGCCGCATGTCCACCCCTCACCTCTCTGCCTCCCAGAGTCATATGTTGGAACCTTCAGTGTCATAGGATGTGGAGGAGGGGGTTGTGGAAGACCATTAGGTCTAGGGATGAAGCCCTCATTATGGGGATTTGTGCCCTAATAGACCCAAAACATTTGCCTGGACCTCTGCCGTGGGAGGGCACAGGGCAGGTGTCTATGACTGGGAATTCGGCCCTCACCAGCATCTTGGCCTTACCAGGCTCCAGAGCTGTGAGCAAAGGTGTCTTTGGTGGTGAGCCCACCTACGTACTCTGTTATGGTGGCTCAAATGGAAGAAGACAGTTGGCATTCACTTCAGCACCCACGGGGCCAGCCCAGGTATGCAAAGTGCTTGCAAATGACCCCAACAGCCTGGCAGGACAACGAAGTGAAGCACACCTTGCTGAACCCTCGTGGCCTCAGGTTCTGCTGATTAGGACTGTCTTTGTTGGTCTAATGGTGTCTTGTAAAAGCGAGAAATGGCTATTCAACTGTGGAAGCCATCACCATGGCACCAACGAGTTCCACACAGAAAGGAAACTGTAGCTTCATTGAAGGTTTGTGTTCCACATTGCTGGGCTGTGCTGATGACAGGTGATTGACTTTGCTTGGGATTTTCTTGTGTCTTTTTCCCAGGGGGATTTCAACATGCCCTTGAGAGGAAACTGCTCTCAGCAAGCCTGCACTTATATCTAGGCATCCTCTGAATGAGGGGTGTGGCCCGAGGGGAGAATGAGAGGTTCGGAGATGATGTGAATGTGGGGCTGCTCTGTCTAGAGCAGGACACCTGGCCCTATCTCAAAGAGCTCGGTCAAACACTGGGAAACCAAACCAAGGTCTGTGTCACAGGGTGTGACAGCAGCCTCCCAACCCCTCCCTGCCAGGCCACTATTATTCTTCAGAGATCAGCTGTGACAACTACTACCTTGAAGTGTCACCACCTAACAGCTGCTGGGGAGCCTGGGTTAAGGCATCTCTGGTCTAGGATGCTTCCTGAAGGAAGGGTTGAAGAAAACTCTCCTGTCCCTTGGGCTCCGACGGTCACTAGCTTACCTGTGTTTATGAGGGGCGGGGGGACTCCATGCACAGAAGCCCACTCATCCGCCAGGAGCCTGTAGCTCTGTTCCATTACTGTTTCCTCCGCAGACGTTATGTTCATGTCTACATTGTGCAGTCGGCTCTATTTCACGCTGACATCTTTTTAAAAAGTTATTTCTCTTACTAACCATGGACCCTTGGGTGTTTGGAATGTTGGGAAACAGAGATACATCCCAGCCCCACAGTGAAAGCATACAAAATCTGACTATGCATGTTAAAACACTAATGTTTTAACAGAATGTGCTGACATCTGGGGATACTCTTTAGCACTTGGGATTTTACCAATGCTTTTCAGTGGCTGGAGAGCTAGGTCTCATCTGGAAAGTCCAAAGTTGATCCTCTCATGTACCTTCACACACAGAGCATTTACTCTGTGCCACAAAACTGAGAGAGTTTTGTATCTCCTCCTGCCCACACCATGGCTGAGGTCAGGGGTTGTTTTGCCCATACACAGGCCCTCATGCTGGTGAGTGGCAGGCAGGACTCTGCTCTGAGTCTGCCCTCACCAGAGACTCTGACCTAGTGAATCCACCACCACATGCCACTTCAGGAGTCCAGGCCTGGCTCAGGTTCAGGACCAGTCTTAAAGCCATGGAATGAACACAACTTGGTCATGGTGTATGATCTTAATGTGTTCTTAAATCTCCTTAAAAAGCTGTAGTTACATTATTTATTTGTGTGTAGAAGTCAGAGGACAACTTCTAGGAATCAGTTCCTCCCAGCCGCCACGTGGGTCCTGGAACTCAAACCCAGACTGTCGCATTGGCAGCAGGCACCTTTGCCAGCTGAGCCATCTTGCTGGCCCTTCATGTGTTCTTGAAGTCTATTTGCAAAAACGTTATTGTGAGTTTTTGGATCTATGTCGCCAGGGACACTGGTGTACCGTTCCTTTATTTGTTGTTTCTTTATTTGGCTTTGAGGATAGGCTAACCAGGCCGGGGTGAAAAAGTGTGGGAAGACACAGGGTTGCTTGCCACTTTTCAGAAGTTTTATTACAAAGAGGTCTGAGCGAAGCACTGGGGTACCGGGACAGACATTGCAAGGGCCAGGAGACAGCTGCAAAAGACACAAACCAAAGCCAGACCCCAAACCACACACGTTAGGAGAAACCACAGCCTTGTTCTCAACTTTTCTTCATAAATAGATGACCAAAATTGTTGCTGGCAATTTTAAATTAGGTGGATATGTGATATTAAAAAAAAAAAAGGAAAAGGAAAAGAGGAGGAGGAAAAAGAACATGAAGAAGAGAAAGAAGAGGAGGAAGAGGAAGAAGAGAAAGAAGGAAAAGAAAAAGAGGAAGGAGAAGGCGGAGGAGGAGAAGAGGAAGAAGAAGGAGGGGGAGAAACCCCCTGGGTGTGGCTTAAAAGCTCCCGTTCTCTCCGTGTGCAGATAAGAATCAGTTTGACAGTTTCTGTGCACGTGTCTCCCTTAAGATAAAACTTAAAAAAAAAATGTGCTAAAGGTCTTATAAAATGTTTTTTTCTTTTTCTTTTTCTTTTTCTTTTTTTTTTTTTACCTTAAAGGAAACTTTCTTTCTCCCCACAAAATAATCTCACAGATGTCTTCAGCACGGTTCTAAAACAGTGAACTACTTACACGGAACCCACAGTGTGGGTTTCAGCATCTTTTTGTGTACACCGAGAGCACACCTGTGGCTGGCCCAGCATCTGGGGTGGGTGTCTGTTGCTAAGCAACCTGGAGGGGGGCAGCCCGGTGAGCTTGGGCTGGGGCCAGAAGTCCAGACGCAGGGGACTGTGTGCAGGCCAAGGAGTGGGGTCCACAGCTACCCTGGAGCAAGCAGGTCAGCGGGCAGAAGGTCCCTGTAGGTTCTTTGGGCTGGCGGTGGGCGGTGGGCTGCCTCTGCAGAGTCTGGTGGGAGGTCGAGGGAGAGACTCAGCCCTGGGGCATGGGTGTATCACTGCTCTTGCTGGCCGGTCACCCTGCCTGCTGCCATGGCCTCTCTCTTGTGGTCAGCCCTTCTGGCTCGGAGCAGTGCCCTCCGGAGAGCCTCAGGGAGGGAGGGGAGGCGGGATTAGGTGAGGTAGAGCGATTTATCCCTGGGGAGCAAGCTGCAGGAGAGAGTAGGGGCTGTCAGCTACCGGAGCCCACCCTGGTGTCCTGGCCCTGTGTCCCTCACTCTGATCAGCTGTCCCTAAGGTTGAAGAAGTGGCTGCCCATCAAGCAGAACTAAGTATCCCTCCTGGTATCCTACCAGGGACCATCTAGTTTTTTGTTTTGTTTTGTTTTTTTAATTTGCTCTTCATGTCTGTTGTGGTTTTTGGTTTTTTGGTTTTTTTTTAGACAGGATCTTAGGATCTTATGTATTCCAGGCTGGCCTTGAACTCTCGGTGCAGTTGAGGATGAGCTAGAACTTTTGATTCTCAGGCTTCCATCCCAACCTCCATGCTGAGTCCTGGGAATTCGAGGTATGCATCACCACACCAGGTTTAGGCAGTACTGGGGACCAAACCCAGGGCTTCATGCATTCTAGGCAAACACTCTGCCAACTGAGATAATGCCTTAAGCACCTCCACCATGTCTGCTTTTAATCACAACATCATCATTTGTATATTTCAAACAACACAGGGCGAGCCAGATACTGTGTCCCATGCCTGTGTGAAGATGAGGCAGGAGGCTCGTGAGTTCAGAGCTAGCCTGGGCTACATAGAAAGACTCCACATTTAATAAGAATGTGCTGCTGTGGATCAGACATTCTCACTCAGGGGAGAAGGGACAGCCTTAGGAAGTTCAGACACAGAGTACTTACTCCTCCTTGGCCCTGACTTTGGGAAGGGAAACAGAAGGAAAAGGGCTGGGGGAGAGTCCGTGCCTGCTGGGGCTACGAAGGGCATCCCTGCCCGCCTGAGTCTGCACACCTGCAGAGGCTCGCCCTAGAAAGTCAGAAGTGGAAGCCAGGGCGAGTGAGCGAGGTTCACGAGGTGTTGGGAGCACTCGCAGGCTGGGCAAAGTAGGAAGCCCATGCTGAAAGGCTGGTGGCCAGGGATGGGGGACACACTGCCTGGTGATGGCGATGGCCACTGTCCACTAGATCCTCATACCTCACTCTCCGTTTGTGAAAACGTGGGACGAAAGGAGAAAAGGCATGAACCAAGGCCGGCCTCAGTTTCCCAAATGACCTTGGCATCCATTCAGCTGCACCCCTGGAGCTTTGCTCTGCTCCATGTTGTTCCCCATACTCTAAGCATCCACCACTTGGGGTGACAGTGCCTACTTCACATTCCCCCCGATGTCTCCCTGTTCTCCTGGCCACCCCTGCCCCTCTCGGGAATGGACAGTGAAGGGGTCTGGGGAGGACTGACCTGCAGGTGCCGAGGCCGCGTTCCCCGCTGGGGTAACTCCCATCCCAGTCCCCGCTGCTGGAAGGGTTGGATGGGCCAGGTGAGCGGGAGCCAGAGCCACTGGGGAACTCAGAGATGTGTGGAAAGTCCTACAGGGGGAGGAGGGGGCGGTGAGCAGAGGAGAGAGGAGGGGGGCCTCTCTGGCAGCTGGCGTCATCTTTGTGTGTCTGAGGGTGTCTGCACTCCAGAGACATGTCCTGGGTCTCCACAGAGTGACTACTCTGCCTCTTCCCCCTTCTGCCTAGTGGAAGATCTTTGGGAAAATTCAACCTGAGGTGATTGTGTGGCTCAGTGATACAGCACCCACCTAGTGTGTGAGAGGCTCTGGCTTCCACCCCCCAGCATGACAAAGAAAAAAAGAAAAGAAAGAACGAAAAAGAAAATCCAACCCCCATCCCAGCTGAGTCAATGTGGTGATTTTGCTTTTAAGTATTTCCTTTACCAGGCTTCAGTTTCCCAATCTGTAAAATGGGGTTACTGTGCTGCATGCATATTTTGGAACCATTGGTGGAATCATCACTTGAGGCTAGGGCTTTGGAGATCACTAGGAGCTGGGACAATCTGGCAGAGGTCACAACAGTCTTAGAGAAGGTTCTGGAACAAGGCTTAGCCAGCAACTAGTCCACTGCCTGAGGTAGCCAGTATCTCTCAAGGGTAGGTGTTCTAGACCCATTTCAGAGAATCGGAAACTGAGGCTCAGAAAGGTACAATGCCATGGCTGAGGTTGCACAGCTGGTGAGTGGCCCGGCCAGTATATGACCTCCCCCCTCAGCTGCCTTCCCTTTTAGTGAGAGTCACAGGAGGCTGTTGCTTGGTCCTGCTTACCTGTGGCCCTGGAGGCGAGGGGCTCATCGCCAGCTGCACCTGGAGTGCCATGGAGGCAGGCAGAACAGGAGGCTGAGGGGCTGGGGACATGCTGAGAGGTGGGCTGAGAAGGGTGCCCTGCGCGTGGGGGGGCAGTGGCAGCTGCTGGTGCAATGAGGGGCTGAGAGGGAAGGAGGGTGGTGGGGGGGACGTGCTGAGGCCGGGCAGCAGGGCCTTGGAGCCCAGCGTTCTGGCAAGGCTGGCAGGGGAAGCTCCGCTGCGGAAGGCTTGCAGGTCGGAGGGCGTCAGGAAGGAAGCCAGGCCGGGCATGGCGTACATGGGCTGCTTGGGTGGGAGCATTTTGGCTGGTGGGTTTGCCTGAGCGTTCTTGACCTCGCCTTGGTCCGAAGGGCTCTGGAGGAAGATGGAAGCCATGGATAAACCAGGGATAAGGCGGAACCTGGACGGTCAACCAGGTAGGTCTGCAGCCTGCAAGGCCTCTGGATAGCTCTGTGTTGTGCTAAGTGGTGGGGTGTGAACGAATAAGCCATAACTATTCAGGGGCCTTTGAGCACACGGCTTTGATCAGCCAGTCAGCCCCACCTTTACCCTCAGGTGGGCTCCCCTGCCAGCATGGTCCCGCTATTCTCACCAATGCCAGCAATGAGCCATGCTCTGTTTATGCCACCCTCAGCCCCCCCCCCTTTCCTCATGCAGGCCTCTCAACTTTGTAAGCACCCTTTGCTTGGCCCTTTACAGCCCAACCCAGGCGTCATTTCCTTTGCAACAGCCTCCAGGACAATGCTTTGTCTCCTTTTGGGCCCCAGACCCACACCTTGCCTCTGTACTTCTGGTGTGGGCAGAGAGGTAGAGGGACATGGTCAGGAAGGAGTTAAGACAGCAAAGCTGGGTTTGAACCTACAGCAGCCACTCAAATGGTCAATCCCAGGCTCATTGCTGGGCCCTCTGAGTGCTAGCTACTCTTGCTAAAGGAAGTCAATGAAATGGTGGCTTCACGTGAAGCTGGCCACACTGGAGGAGCTCCCAAGGTGTGACACACAGGTGCCACTCATCCTCTCCGAGGCCTGTGGTACCCGCTGTTCCTAGGCGCCCCGGCCTTCGCTCTATCCCTCCCATGGTGCACTCTCATCAGGACATTGCCTAGGGATGAAGTTACCTTGGAGACGAGGCTAGCTCTGTAGGCCGCCAAGGCTTTCAGGTACTCCTTCTTGGCAGCTTCGGTCTTCCTCTTATACGCCTGAAAGATCCGAGACATGGGCAACTCTGGAGAAAACGTCACAGAGGAGCCACAGTGCAGAGGCTGGGATGCCAAGTGGCGATTCCCGGGCCGTGCATGGATGAAGGTTGTGGGGTCATAAGCTGGATCAGTCACCCACTGGTCCCTCTATTGGAGTATCGCACCGGGAGTGTAGAGGCCAGGCTACACGCCCGTTCCTCAGCCATGGTGTTGGCGCAAAGTGACTCCAGAAGGACAAGTCACCCAGAAGCCTCTCTTTTGACCCAGGATAATACCAAATCCTAAGATCGCACTATCTTTGTATTCATGAAACCTGCTCCTATTCATATTTGCTACAGTTGCCACTATTAGCCTTAGACCTAGGTTTAGACGTCACTGTGGGAACGGCCCTAGTGTGCTTCACATTCACTCTGGCCATGCCCTTTAAGTAGAACTTTTCCATAATGACTTGGGGCTCAGCCTTGAGACTATTTGGCCAGTGGCATAAGAATAAACTGATGTGGAAGACTTGAAAAGTGCTTAGACTCTGGGATGGCCCTTGGCTGCCCTGGGAACCAGCCTGGTGTGGTGATTCATATTCTTGAATGAATAGTTACCAGGGAGTGGCACTATTTGAGAAGGATCAGGAGGTGTGGCCTTGTTGGAGGAAGTGTGTTACTAGGTGTAGGCTTTGAAGTTTCCAAAGCCCATGCCAGGCCCAGGATCTCTATTTCTCTCTCTCTCT